GTGCAAGCTAATTTTAAGCAAATCTCCGGGCTAATTTTAATGGGTAATTTTACGGTAGCCCTCTCCAACCCCCGCGCGTAGTAAAAGCGCCCGTAAACGACAAAATTTATCGCTAGGCGAGCACGACTTCTCTCTTTGCTCTATATTTCCCTTTTATTTACGCCGCATCAATAAATAACGCAAACCCGCGGCTCCTTAGAAATCACTCCCTCACGGCCTCTCGTAAACGGAGCTTTCAACGGATAAACCTCCTGATACGAGTTCGAGCTTCACCCCTTTGTCCCCTTTCTGTCGAAACATTTGCATTCAGAGCGATATCGAAATCCAAACGAATTCGCGAAACGTCGATCGAAAGGGTTCACCACACGTTAAACCATAAGCCCTACCAATCGTGTGATCGAGTTCTCTAAATCGTAACTCCTGCACGTGAATTAGAAAGCCGACACGTGTGTTGCAGCGGAACTTTCCGAACTATATTTACAGTGCAGATCAAATAGAGAATGTATTGTATTTTATATACCAAACGATGAGGCTGAAAGTGAAATGATCGCGGCTCGTTCCCGTTGACAGACAATGGCAAATTCGGGCCCGTATCTCGTCGCCAGGCCGAAAACGGGGGAGTCGTTAACTAGTTTCTCCTGCGCGTGCATGTTCCCCGTGCCGAGAACAATGCCGATACACGTAAACGCACGTACACGTACGTCGACGGGCACGTGTGCGTCCCGTGTACGAGGAGGCTTTTACGCGTCGGAGTTAGGACAATATCCCGAACTTACCGACGGCAAACTTTCGGCAAAGAGACAGACAGGCCGAACGAGAGCGGGTGACGTTGATGCGGTGCCGTCAAAGGAACGGGAGGACGTTTGCTGCTTTATGGATACGCGGAGAGGCCGTGGGCGTTCGAAGGGCGGCCGCGATAGCCGTCGTTGGAAATTTCGAGATTTCACTCTTCCCGTCTGCCTGTACCCACTTTGCCTCTCTGACACAGTTTTCCGTTTCACCGGGGCGCATTGTCAGCGAGCACAGTGGTCCATTTTTAGGGCAAAGTTCGCCACTAGCGTGACCACTCCTTAAGTTGAATGCGGTGTAACCGAGTTACCAATTTTTAAGAACTTCTGATGCTTCGCGGCATTAACAACAATTAAGTTCGTTATGTATAATACTGAATAGAACGCTTTTTCTTTAACCCTTTCGCTGCCCTGGACGAGATATCGCGATCCAGTACTGGCCAATTAATGCTTCTGACTATAAGTCTCACTACCATTTATTACATTTAAATGAATACATTTTATAATTAATTATATCCTAAAGGGAATTGCTAAAAGGAAGACAAATAGTTGTATTAATAAAACCATTAAAAACCTACGTTTAGTAGTAATTTAAGAGATTCTTGATCAGTCTGTAAGAGAGCGTAAAATAATTCATGAGCAATTTGAATTTCTATGGAGATCAGGATTAACCACATACATGTATTTTCATTGAATTATATTATTCGGGAACATTTCTCTTTGCCCTTATTTTGAATTATTCATCCTTCGCCCGCCCCTGTCAGCTGAACGCCTTTTTCAACTAAGCCCTTAGCCCCGTGTTCGACTCGTGTACGCGTGTAATTTCTTTTCCTCTCCGACGCCGAGCTACTCAACGGATCGCGAAGTTATCGGAATCCGCCCCATCGGTCCGCGAAGATTCCCAAAGCGATCGTAACTTCCGACGTCGAAGTTCAAACGATGAATCTGCGTTGGTAATGCCGCGTCCGTAAGCTTGTAACGTTGCCGAGCTGTTGAAGCGACGTACGTACGTACTACGACTATCTCTCTTACCGTAGAACCTCTTAAACTTATTAGTATACTGAAACATCCCCTTCGCAAATGCTCTTGGCAATATCGGAGCGAAGGGTGGAACGTAATTCATCGTTTCTCCCCAGTCTATTGATAAAATCATCCATTGTTTCCTTTTTTATTGACACCCAATATTTCGCCGATGTCTTTAAATCCGATTCAACTGGTCTATCCTCGAAAATGCGTCCCTCGACACATTTGCCTTTAAGGATGTATTGGCTATATAGTCAATACCAAAAGTTTATTTACCTTAGAAAAACGCATCTTTTGTAATTAAAAATAGTGCACTTTTCTTCTAATTTCGATATTTAATAAGTTACGTATGATTATTTGGCATTTTATTGATGTTGACAAAATCCGACCATCCCAGCGTCGAATAGTCGAACTTTTGGGAAAAAATTTCGTTTTTCCTCAATAACTCCTAAACCGTTGGTTCTACGGGAAAATTGCATAGGACCTTTCTTGTAGAGGACAACGAGATCTACAATTTCTGTGTAAAAAGTTTTCGCTAGCATTAATATTTAGCGAGTTATTGACGAAAAACGAAAAAACAGTTTTTTGCAATTTACTCGTTAACTATTGGCACTAGGGAATAATTTTTACATGGAAATTGTAGATCTCGTCGTCCTCTACAAAACGGCCCTAGATACGCCCCCCTAAGTCCACCCCTTTGGGAGT